GACGCGAAGGGGCCGTGAGGGGCCGTGAGAGGGCGCGACGGTAGGGAGGGCACACGGGGTGCGACTCGGGCAGGAGCAAAGCGCGCTCCGGGCAGGAAAAAAATCGTGGTGGGCCCTAGGAAGCGTTCCCACTAGGGAACCTGCTCTATACCATGTGAAGAAATGAGGAATGAATGAACTAGCACAAGGTTGGGTACAAGTAGGAAACCCTAGGAAAATTGTACCCCATAGTGTCTACCCCACTATAACCTAGACAAGCTATATGATATAAGTTCGACAACTAGGTGGCAGGTCTGTGGACCTGCCGAAAGATAAGATGGGAATGCCTCCTTATTGCATTCCCCTTTTTCCGAATCTTGTCACAATCATTAAATTTGAAATATATTTCTAAATTATTCATATTCGGTGAAATTCGAGTTCCGAATTTCACCCATTCGAAATGTTACTCGAACATTCGAGAGTATAGCGACTTGTGTTGACATGTGCGACTCGATGCATTGCCGTTCATATAAATTTGTATGCTTTGTATTGCATGGATCATAATGAAAACCTGAATCACTTTGTATGTGATACACTCGACTACAAAATCCAGAGAGTTCCTATCCTTTGTTCAAAGAGCACTAGCAAGCACATAAACGCCTAGAATTCCCTCGTTACTTGGGCGAATTGGGTGCTTGACGGATCGTTGGAAAGCTAGCAGAGTGCTCTATCGTTTAGTGCAAATCCCAGTTCCTGAAAAGTAGAGGAGAGTCCTTTACAACAGAGGGGGCGAGGGGGCGCGGGCGGGCGAGGGGGTGCGGGCGGGCGAGGGGGCGCGGGCGGAAGAGGGGACGCGGGCGGGCAGCGGAGATAACTACTACAACGGGAGCTAGACTACGGGCTAGGCACAGCTGCTCAAGTGATCTCTGCGTTCGTTGGTCCTTAGTCGATTCCTAGTGCACACACTGCTTGCTAGTTCACGGGGCAAGTTGGCAAGAGTTTCACTAGAAAAAGTTGACAACAATAGTACAATCAGGTTGGCAAGACAAGACTACATCAGAGCTAGCATTCAGATCGGTCGACTGCCAGAGCAGCATGGTCGACCGCGTTCCAGCAGTGCTAAGTCGACGACGTGCCAGCACTGCAGGTCGACGGCGTGCCAGCGTTGCTCCCGCAGAACAGCAGCGCACTAGCTTCGTAGGTGCTCGCAGATGATTGGCGTGCTGAGCCTCGTCACCTGCACAACGCACACACCAAGTCACCTACCTGATCCGCCACGTCGACCTTGGGATACCACCATCGAGGTCAGTCTCGCCAACATCGCCTGGGCGACCGTCGCAGTCTTTTGCAGAACCTCGTCACCCATGTAACCTGGTCGACTGGGCAACCACGACGACCAGGTGCTCCTGTATGTGCCCGTCGACCTCCCAAGTCAACGTTCACCTCCATTCGACCTCACCAGGTCGACCACACCCCTGGTCGACCAGCTCCAGGTCGACGTCACTCCTGGTCAACCAGCTCCACGTCGACCAGCACAGTCGTCAGCCGACCACCCAAGTCGGCTACCAGAAGTCGGCACCAACTTCTGGGCCGACCTCTTGAAGTCGGCGACCTCCCAAGTCGGCGACCTCGCACGTCGGCGACCTCGCAAGTCGGCGACCTCGCAAGTCGGCGACCTCGCAAGTCGGCGACCTCGTAAGTCGGTGCCGACTTCCAGGTCGACGTGCCACATCGCCGGCCACCAAGTCGGCGGCATTGCAGTGGCCCCGTGCAAGTCGACCAACCCTATCGACCAGCTCGCCCAAGTCGGCGTGGCCCACTGCAACAAGTCGGCTGTACCTCCTGTACACCCAACTACGAAGTCGGCTCTGCCCAAGCGAGGATGGGGCCAACAACAACTCCCGTTGACACTCCCCTGCCGCGTTCACGCTTGGGTCCCCAGCCCGCACGGCATCACTGCTCGAAGAATAGCTCGTCCGCGTGCACCCAACACATGGCACGCCGGTCACCGCACCAGCCATGCACGAGAACATGACACCTACTACTGCACGTCGTTGTCCCCGTCGCCCACGTCGACCAAGCGCACCTGGCCAATGGCAACGGAGCACTGGTTGAAGGCCCAATAGTGCAGCGCCTTCGTCAGCAAGCTGGCCGGCTGGTCAGCGGTCGGGATGTACTTCAGTGAAAACTTCCCACGCTTCATGTGAAAACTACCGTCTCAGTGGTGAGCATGCGCACCGCCGATGGGAGTGCAACAGCAGTGTGCGCTGTAGTTTTCACATCAAGTTTTCACCCCAACGCACAACTACCGTCTTACCGTCTTCCCACGCTTCATGTGAAAACTTCGTCGGGAAAGGGACTGCACCCACGCTTCCCTCGTGCTCAGTGGTCGGTAAGTGGCGACGCACAGCAAGACGGGCAGCACCATCGTGTGTGGCCCACTGAGAGCGAACAATGCTATTAGCAGTAGCAGGCGGGGCAGGGGACGCACCAGAGGTGAGATCGAACAGGGAGAGTCCGTCAGCCCTATCGCACAGTAGGAAGAGCTGGAGGTCATCGACCCAGACCTCAAAGTCAACAGCACGACCCTCAGTATCAAAGGTAAGAACACTGGGGGTAGCCATGACTGCAGTGGCCTAACAGGGAGTGATCTCACCAATCCGAGTAAGTAGGGCCGGGGCGTGCCGGTAGGAATAGTAGTGGCTCGACGGTAGGGCGGCTCGGCGGCTCGGCTGCTGGGCGGCTCGGCGGCTCGGCTGCTCGGCTACTGGGCGGCTCGGCTGTCAGGCGGCTCGGCTGTCGGGCGACTCGGCTGTCGGGCGGCTCGGCGGCTCGGCAGCTTGGCGGCTCGGCGGCTCGGCTGCTGGGCGGCTCGGCGGGTCGGTTGCTGGGCGGCTCGGCTGCTCGGCGGCTCGGCTGCTGGGCGGCTCGGCTGTCGGGCGGATTGGCGGCCCGGCTGCTCGGCAGCTCGGCTGCTGGGCGGCTCGGCGGCTGAAGGGGCCGCTAGGGGCGGCGAAGAGGCCGCGTAGGGAGGGGAGCGGCAACGGGGCCGCTAGGGGCGGCGAGGGGGCCGCGTAGGTAGAGAGGCGGCAACGGGGCCGCTAGGGGCGGCGACGGGGCCGCTAGGGGCAGTGACGGGGCCGCTAGGGGCGGCGACGGGGCCGCGTAGGGGGCGGCGACGGGGCCGCTAGGGGCGGCTATGGGGCCGTGTAGGGGCGGCAACGGGACCACTAGAGGCCGCGAGGGGCGGCACGGGGGGCTGTGGGAGGGGCCTCTAAGGGACCTCGACGGAAGGGCGGCCCACAGGGCGCGCCTCGGACAGCAGCGACTGGCGCTCCGGTCAGAAAAAAACATTTTTCAGTGGTGGGCCCAATGAAGCGTTCCCACTAGGGAACCTGCTCTATACCATGTGAAAGAATGAGGACTGAATGAACTAGCACAAGGTTGGGTACAAGTAGGAAACCCTAGGAAACTGTACCCCATAGTGTCTACCCCACTATAGCCTAGACAAGCTATATAATATGAGTTTGACATCGTTGCCTCCCATCTTCTCTCCCTCCACAGTTCCTCCTCCTCCTCACTTGCCCGCTGTGATTAACTCTAGCTTTGCTCGCTATTGTGAACTCCTGCTCTATGCATGCTTGCTTATTGTGCTGATTACACCCCACTTTGGCTATGGGGGTGTGTCAGAATGTTATAATTGTCTAGCCGTCAGTGGGGTACTCTATAGCGAGTACAACCCAATTAGGGTTTCCTATATGTATGCCAACTGCTGCTAGTTCAACCCCTCTCTTCTTCATTCCTCATTTCTTCACAAAACGAGTCAATAGCTTTATTAGTGCAGCACAAATGTTGCAAGCTTGTTTTTCTCGAAGGAGTATCAATTTGTCGGTCTACGCCCATAGTACTTTTGGCCTCTTTGCATAAACGGTTTAACAATTCGGCAAATCTGACCTCTTCGCGTTGTCGCATAATCGTCGTAAGCTCTACAACTTGTACACGTCCTCAAATATCTAAATCATATATACGTGTACGATCGTCAAAACGGATATCACGGATTGAAAAGAATTGGAAAAATTCCCCAACAGAAACCATATGGAACCTTCCGAAAGGAACGTTCGCGTTATTCGTAAGCTCATGAAGCCTAAAATGTATCCATTCGAATGCGTTTTTCCCAACAATTGATATTTCGTCGACAATAACAACCCTTACATTTCCAAGTCTTAATCTTTAAGTATTTGACCAGTCCGAAGACAATTCTTATATACGGCAATTTTGCACGAGTGTAATTATTAATGCAAGCTTGCACTTTGGGGGGGGGTGGACCCAAAGGTTTATCACTTTCCTTGGGTGGTTACCCTGTTTGTGCTTGGGGGTCCGAAACTCAACCAAAGTTCAGTGTTGGCGGAGTTGCGCCGTCTGCTCTCTCCCCCGTCGTCGCGAGCAACAACCCTACTGCGAGTTGGGAACTTGCAGCACAGCCAGCAGTTTGTGAACCATGAGCATAACGCGCGAGGATCACAGCAAGTGAAAATACAAGGGACATACTACGATTAGCCAGGGTTCACCCGACACTAAACTAGAAAGCTGAAGTAGCACAGTACAGCTCGTCATAACCTCACAAATTCTTGATTGACCATCGCAATCATCTCGCCGGGGCATGAATCATCTCGGGCGCACTTAGGCTCTTCCGCCACTCGTACACCGCATTGCGCCATTAGTGCGCATTTCTCCGCGACGGCGAGGCGGACCGCTCCATGCGCGAACGGGGTGGCGGCGACTATCGCCATCACAAAGTGCGCGGTACGAACAGGGAAATCGCGGACTATCCCTGGCCCCCACGACGCAGCCCACTAGGCGCAAAGCAGGTCCGTCCGCCACGCCTACTCTCTCCGGTCGCCTACGCACACTCCCCTCCGTCGTCCGCGCTCACTCCTCTCCCATCGCTTTCGCGCACTCCCCTCCGTCGCTGGCGCTCACCCCCCTCTTTGGCCCGCGCTCACACACACCCTTGTTCCACAATGACTCCCCTTCCGTCGCGGGTTTGCACAGTCCATCGCACAGTTGCAGCTCCTTCCGTCGCCCACCCTCACTTCCTCCCGTCGCCCACGCGCACTCCCCTCCGCCGCGCGTGTTCGCTCCCTCCAGTTGAGCATGCGACGTATCCCGTCATCACACTCGCTCCCTCCTTCAAGGCCAACCCTGGGAGATCGCTACCCTCCGGCGCCCATGCGCACTCCCCTCTGTGCCGGTTTATTAGCAGCAGCCCCGTCCTTTCCCCCCTTGCAAACCCTAAAGTCCTTCTCCCCCCTGCTTCCCCTCCGTCACCCATGCGCACTCCCCTCCGTGCTGGTTGATTAGCAGCACCCCCGTCCTTCTCCCCGCTGCTTCCCCTCCGTCTCCCCCCTGCTCTCCCTCCTCCTCCCTGCTTCCCCTCCGTCCCCCCCCTGCTTCCCCTCCGTCTCCCCCCTACTTCCCCTCCGTCTCCCCCTCGCTTCCCCTCCTTCCCCCCCCCTGCTTCCCCTCCGTCTCCCCCCTGCTTCCCCTCCTTCTCCTCCCTGCTTCCCTTCCGTCTCCCCCCTGCTTCCCCTCTGTCTCCCCCCTGCTTCCCCTCCGTCTCCCCCCTGCTCCCCCTCCTTCTCCCCCCTGCTTCCCCTCCTTCTCCCCCCTGCTTCCCCCCCTTCTCCCCCCTGCTTCCCCTCCGTCTCCCCACTGCTTCCCCTCCTTCTCCCCCCTGCTTCCCCTCATTCTCCCCACTGCTTCCCTCCCTTCTCTCCCCTGCTCCCCTCCTTCTCCCCCCTGCTTCCCCTCCTTCTCCCCCCTTCTCCCCTCCTTCTCCCCCCTACTTCCCCCCCTTCTCCCCCCTGCTCCCCTCCTTTTCCCCCCTGCTTCCCTTCCTCCTCCCCCCTACTCCGCTCCTTCTCCCCCCTGCTTCCCCACCTCCTCCTCCCTGCTCCCCTCCTTCTCCCCTTGCTCCCCTCCTTCTCCCCCCTGCTTCCCATCTTTTGCTCGAACACTCGCGTAATGCACAAATGGCCCGGCCGCCCTCCATGGCGCCCCCCTCTCCCCTCGCTCCTCTCTATCCATCCCCGCTTTAGTGTCCCTCGCAGGATCCTATCACCATTGCCACAACCTAGTGCCTTGAGCGGGAACCTCTTCACTGACATCGCGTCATCAAGACACCCGACGCATTCGGTCGCATTGTTCGCGCCTGGCTTCGTCGGCGCGGCATTGTGAATTGGCCAAGAAAGCCAGGGAACCCGTATGAGTCCCCACCTCTTCTCTCCCTCTCCCCTACCAGCACCTTCTCTCATCTCCCTCCACTCTCTCCTCTGTCTTCTCTCACGCCCCTCCATGCCACTCTGCCTCTCACCCTTCAACCTCCCTATCCCCTCTTTGCCTTACGCCCTTCTACCCCCTTTCCGGTCCAGGCAATACGCCTGCATTCCCCCTTACGCCACTCTGCCTTACTCCTGTCCATCCACCTTCCATATCTCCCTCTCCTCCTCCATCCCACTTTCCCATTTTTGTCTTACGCCTTTGGCACTGAGTACGCCACTCTGCCCGTCTCCCTGCTTCCCCATCCCCTCGCACTTCCCTACACCCCTCGTCCCCCTTTCCCCTCTCTCACCCTTCTCCTTCCCCGTTTCGCCTCTCAGCCATCCCCCCCTATTCCCATTTCCGCCCTTCTTCCCCCTGTTCCCTTTCTTCCCTACAACAGTATACCCCCTTTCCCATCTCTGCCTTACCCCCTTCTTCCCCTTGTTCCCTCTCTTCCATACAACCCTCTTCCCCCAATCCCGTCTCTGCCTTACCCCCTCCTTCCCCCTGTTCCCTCTCCTCCTTACACCCTTCTTCCCCCTTTCCCGTCTTTGCCTTACCCCCTTCTTCCCCCTATTCCCTCTCTTACAACCGTCTACCCCCTTTCCCATCTCCAACTTACCCCGTTCTTCCCCCTGTTCCCTCACCTCCTTACAACCTTCTTCCCCCTTTCCCGTCTCTGCCTTACGCCCTTCTTCCCCCTGTTCCCTCTCTTCCTTACAACCGTCTACCCCCTTTCCCGTCTCTGCCTTACCCCCTTCTTCCCCCTGTTCCCTCTCTTCCATACAAGCTTCTTCCCCCTATCCCTCCCCTGCCTTACCCCCTTCTTCCCCTTGTTCCCTCTCCTCCTTACACCCTTCTTCCCCCTTTCCCGTTTTGCCTTACGCCCTTCTTCCCCCTGTTCCCTCTCTTCCTTACAACCGTCTACCCCCTTTCCCGTCTCTGCCTTACCCCCTTCTTCCCCCTGTTCCCTCTCTTCCATACAACCTTCTTCCCCCTTTCCCGTCCCATCTCTGCCTTACCCCCTTCTTCACCATGCTCCCTCTCCTCTTCACACCCTTCTTCCCCCTTTCCCGTCTTTGCCTTACCCCCTTCTTCCCCCTGTGCCCTCTCTTCCTTACAACCTTCTTCCCCCTTTCCCGTCTCTGCCTTACCCCCTTCTTCCCCCTGTTCCCTCACCTCCTTACAACCTTCTTCCCCCTTTCCTGTCTCTTCCTTACCCCCTTCTTCCCCCTGTCCCCCCCCCCCCTCACAACCTTCTTCCCCCTTTCCCATCTCTGCCTTACCCCCTTCTTCCCCCTGTCCCCCCCCCCCCTTACAACCATCTTTTCCCTTTCCCGTCTCTGCCTTACCCCCTTCTTGAGAACTTTTCCCTCTCCTCCTTACACCCTTCTTCCCCCTCTCCCGTCCCTGCCTTACCCCCTTCTTCCCCCTGTCCCCTCTCTTCCTTACCCCCTTCTTCCCCCTGTTCCCTCTCTTCCTTACAATTCTCTTCCGCCTCTCCCGTCTCTGCCTTACCCCCTTCTTCCCCCTGTTCCCTCTCTTCCATACACCCTTCTTCCCCCTATCCTGTCTCTGCCTTACCCCGTTCTTCCCCCTGTTCCCTCTCCTCCTTACACCCTTCTTCCCCTTTTCCCGTCTTTGCCTTACCCCCTTCTTCCCCCTGTGCCCTCTCTTCCTTACAACCGTCTACCCCCTTTCCCGTCTCTGCCTTACCCCCTTCTTCCCCCTGTTCCCTGACCTTCTTACAACCTTCTTCCCCCTTTCCCGTCTCTGCCTTACCCCCTTCTTCCCCTGTTCCCCCCCCCCCTTTTACAACCATCTACCCCCTTTCCCGTCTCTACCTTACCCCCTTCTCGAGAACTGTTCCCTCTCCTCCTTACACCCTTCTTCCCCCTCTCCCGTCCCTGCCTTACCCCCTTCTTCCCCCTGTCCCCTCTCTTCCTTACCCCCTTCTTCCCCCTGTTCCCTCTCTTCCTTACAACCCTCTTTCGCCTCTCCGTCTCAGCCTTACCCCCTTCTCCCCCCTGTTCCCTCTCCAACTTACACCCTTCTTCCCCCTTTCCGGTCTCTTCCTTCCCCCCGACTTCCCCTTTTGTGTTCATGTACCTCCCTATCCTTCTTTCGCCTTTCCCTCTCTGCCATTCACCATACTTCTCCCCTTCTCCCCTCTGTGTTACAACCTTGTACCGCCTTTCTCCAATATGCCTTGCACCCTTCTCCCCCTTGTACACTCTCTTCCTTTCACCCTTCATCCCCCTGACGCCACTCTGCCTTACTCTTTGAATCCCCCTTTCCCATCGCTCCTTTACACCCTTCTTCCCCCACTCCCCTCTCCGCCTTTCTCGAGTCTTCACACTTACCCTTTTCTGCCTTATTCCCTCTATCCCCCATTCCCCAATCTGCCAAACTCCCATTGTTTGACATTTCTCCTCGATCGCTTACATCCTTCTTCACCCTTTCCCTATCTCCTATTCGCGCTTCGTCGCCCTTTCCGCTAGCTGCCTAAACTCATCTCCCCAGTATCCCCTCACATCATTACACCCTTCTTCCCCCTTACGCCTCTCTGCTTTACTCCCGGCTGCACCTTCTTCTCTCACTTCCCTACTGCCTTTCCCCCCCCCCTCCCCTCTCTGCCTTACGCTCTTCACCGCCCTGTCATCTTTTTGCCGTATACTTGTTTTTTCCCTCTTTACGCACACCAATCTGCCATACTCCCCTTGTTCCACCTTTCCTCTCTCTACCATACATCCATCTCCCCCCTTTCTCCTCTCTGCCTTCCACCCTTCTTCTCCCTTTTCCATCGGTGCCCACACAAACCTTCCCTGAATCCCCTTTCTGTGCTGAACACCCTTCCAGCGACTACCCTCTCTCAGCCTTACACCCTTCTTCCCCCAATCCCCTCTATGCCTTGCCCCCCTTCCTCTGCCTTTCCACCCTCTCCACCTTACACCCTTCTTCCCCCTTTATCCCTCAATCCACTCTCTCTTATTATATCCCTCCCCTCCCTCTCCTCTCGTATGCCGATCTCCCCTCCCTGTTTATTCCCCCCCTCGCCTTCACAGCACCGTACGCGACGGCCAATCCGCACCTCTCTGCTCAACATCTCCAATCCGCACCCCACGCCTTGCCTGCACCACTTCCGGGGGTGTAACGTCAACACTCTGGGAGAGGGGGAAATGGGTACAACGCGCCATCTCTTCCTTGCCTCTCTCCTCCCTCTTCCTTCTCTCATCTCCATCCCCTCTCTCCTCCGACTTCCCTCACGCCCCACCCTGCCCTCTCTACTCCGCCTTTCCTTTCTCACCCCCCTGCTCGCTCTCCTCCCCTCTCAAATCTCAACTCCCGAACCTCTCCTCCCCCTCTACCCCTCCCAGACCTCTATCCCTTCAATGCCCTCTTTCCCCTCTCTGCCCTCTCTCGACCCCTTGCCCTACCCTCCCTCCCTTATCTCTCTCCCCTCAATAATATGTTGCCCCTGTCAGACCCTCTCGTTACTCTCTGTCATGTCCCCAATACCCCGCTCTTTCATCTCTGTACTCCTCATGCCCCCTCCCTATCCTGTGCCAACCCCATCCGTGTCAAGTCCTATTCCCACACTTTACACTTGGGGTTCCATGTGGCTGTCTTATTATATGGCTCCTCTCTGCCCTGACCTGCACCCATGCCCAATCTGAGCCTGTCCCCCTGAGGCTGCAATGTTGTCTCCCTTCTGCCGCACACTGCCCGGGCCCCATTCTCTGTCATTTTGCACTCCATGATCTAGCACGCCACATGTTCCAGTTCCCCTCACCCACCTCCCTCCCTTCCCCACCCTTTCGAGGCAGTCTACAACTCTCTCTTGCCAGTGTGAGGGCTGGAAGCAAATGTCGCACCAACAAGGGACGGGCAGTGGCTCAGCTAAGCGCGTCCGAACTGGCGGGCCTGTTAGGTAAGCCATTCCGGTATTGGTTCACTACACCTCCAGCGCCTTTTTCCTTTGACAATATCCGCTTACTGCACGTTACTTTTTTGCACTCGCTCATTTGTCCTTGTCACTGTTTTGGGCAGGCCACGCTGTAGAGCTCTCATGCGTCGCCGGCCGGAAGGGGTACGCATGGTTTCACAAGATGTGAGAAAATGTGAACGAGAATGGATGAACTATGAAACAGTTGGGCACAAGTACTAACCCTAATTGGGTTGTACCCCTTATGGGCTACCCAACTACAGCCTACACAAAAGCATAAGCTATAATGTTCTGACACACCCCTATAGGCAAAGTGGGGGAGAACAAGCGGTCACAAGACCAGTCAAGCAAAGCAAAGCAAAGCAAGCTCAGGGTGGATCACAAAGTCACCACACATTCCAAGCACAAGTTCAAGGCCACAAGGCCAGTTCACATGCATGAGTACATATATGTAGAAAGCTAGACAAGCAAGAGCAGGTGTATATATATGTAACAGTACAAGTAAGGTCAAGAGGTGAGCAAGTGAGGCAAGACAGGCACAAGACCAAGCTGAGTACAGAAGCGCTGATGATCACAAGGCGCAAGTGCCTTGGTGAAAACATCAGCAGTGTTGGCCTCAGAGGCCACGTACGCAAGTCACAACTGACCACGCTGCTGCAACTCACGAGCAAGAAAGTAGCGGAGAGCAATGTGCTTCGTTCTGTGCTCCACGCGCTGCTCCCGACACAAGGCTAGCATGGCCTTGTTGTCTACGTACAGCACCGGAGGAGAACGAGGCGGCTCTCCGAGGTCAGTCAGCAGGTAGGTAAGCCAGCGAAGCTCCTATGCAGCCATGGCCCCCGCGTAGATCTCAGCCTCACAACTGGAGCCGAGAACAGAAGACGAGTGAGTAGCCCGCCACGAAACAGAGCCGGAACCAAGGCTGAAGGTGTAACCCTGTGACGACCGCTGCGTAGCCTGGTCGTCTGCCCAAGAAGCGTCCGCGTGCCCAGTGAGGACCACTGGACTCCGCCCTCCAAGCACTAGCCCCATGCCCGACGTACTGCACAAGTAGTGCAACACCCTCTTCGCTGCAGCCATGTGCTCTGGTCTGTGTCTCCCAGGAGCAACATAGCGTGCAAGAATGCTAAGAGGGTATGCAAGGTCAGGTCGTGTGCAGGTCATCAGGTACATGAGGCAGCCAACAAGCTCTGGGTACGGGCCACTCGACTCTACGGACTCATCCAAAGGCAGAGCTGAGAGCGAGTGGCGAGTAGACAGATGAGTGGCCTGAGGCGAGGAGTACGTGAAGCCGAAGCGCTGAAGGACCTGCTGCACCATGTGTGACTGAGTCAGGGTAATGGTGCGGCGTGCTCTGTCCCGGGTGATCTGCAAGCCAAGGTAGCTGCGCAGTTCACCCAGGTCTGTGCACGTGTGTCTCTTCTGCAGCTCGGACTTCACGTGGGCGAGTCCAGCAGTGTCAGCTGTGGCAAAGACCAAGTCGTCGACGTACACGAGGATGTAGAACGGCGGCAGAGAAGTGTCGGTGCGTAGAAACAGCGACGGGTCAGCAGTAGAGGGAGCAAACCCAAGAGCCGCAAGTGTAGTCCTCAGTGTGTCGTGCCACTCGCGCGATGCCTGGCGGAGACCGTAGACTGGCCGTCAGAGGCTCCACTGGGTGCCAGGAGGGAAAGTCCCAGTGAAGCCAGGTGGACTGCGCAACCAGATCTCCTCGTGCAGGCTACCCTGCAGGAAAGCAGTGCTGAAGTCAAGGGAGTGAAGCTCGTAGTCACGCTGAGCTGCTACGTGTAGCAGCACCCGAAGAGTGGTCATCTTCGGGGTGGGAGAGAAGGTCTGAAAGTAGTCAACTCCCTGCCGCTGACTGAAGCCACGAGCCACGTACCGCGCCTTGAAGACAGGTGGAGAGCCCGGCGGCCGCTTCACCCTGAAGATCCACATGCCACTGACGATGTTCGCCCCAAGAGGGGGAACCGCGTCACCGTAGGTGCCTGTGGACTTCGAGGAAGCCATCTCTGCATCCATAGCTGCCTGCCACTGAGAGGAGTAGGGACCCTCTACGGCCTCCGCGTAAAAGCGCGGAGTCGGGATGTCAAGTGCATCCGGGTCTCCCTCAGGGGTAAGCAGTACGGACGCGAGATGAGGTGAAGCAGCAGCCAGACACTGGAACTCCTCCTGCCTGTCCTCAAGGACGTCCGTGCCAAGAGCACAATCACCCCCGACGGACGGAGGACAGACAGACGCAGACTCAGAAACAAGACTAGCAGCGTAGTCTAGACGACAGCGAGCAGCAAAGTCGACGAGCTCAGCAACAAGAGCAGACGCAGCAGTGGACTCAAAGGAGGGGTCAGTGACGACAGTAGCAAGGAGACGCGTGACAGTAAGACTGGCAGCACGAAGAGAGTCCGACTCAGGGTCGGCAAGCACAGGAAGAGAGGACTCAGGAGGAGAGGGCAAAGGGGCACGCAGAGGAGCAGTGGACGGACGCAGAGACATCTGGTGCGTGCCAGGGACAGGAGGAGGACGCTGACGCGAACTGCGACCACTAGTGCGAGCAGCACGAACAGGCGACGCAGGACGAGACGCAGGCTCACGACGCTCAGCAAGACCTCCAGTAGGACCACTGTCGGTTTGAACGAAAGGCACTATGGCAGCCACTATATACTTCAAACACAAGATAGGAAGAGTTACGAGTTGGGAATGACTCCCAGCTCCTACAAACCCCAAGAGCCGAGGTACAGTGATGTGGAACAGTGCCACTGTCCCCAACCAAGAAGGATCTCGAACCACAAGGGCCTACACCAACTGAAATGTTACACTACACAAAGTAATGTAACTATTTGCATTATCTTTAAGCGTACCCTTTTGCGAGCTTCAAGATCACTTGAGTCTTGACACCAAGGCTCGGGTTCTTCATCACAAACTCATCCTTGAGTTCTTGATGGTCTGCTGCACACACCTGCGACACGCCGAACGTTCGACACACGACAAAATAGAAACCGCGCACGAGACACACGACAAAATAGAAACCGCGCGCGAGACACAAATGACCGCGTAATACGCGACTAGCGATAACTCGCTATTGACTCGACACACACACTCAACATCATGACTGATCATTTACACACCATCATAAGCATGGAATATATATCTCATGCCCTCATACCATTCCATGCACACACGCATGCACGCACACGGACAACAAGCCGAGTGCAAACCGTAGGGTTGCACCAACAGTATCCACGTCCAACAATCTTGGCTCTTTTTTTTTTCGTCTTATTACAAGTGGATTTCCCAATCAAGGCGCTTTTCCCCCTAAATAGTATGACGCTTCTCCGTCATTTCCCTCTTGTTACCCTTCTTTTCCTCCCTCCTCTTTTCCTCCTCGTGTGTTTGGCTAACCCCTTTTGTCGCATTCCTTTGTGTTTTCCTCTTTGCCCATGCCTGGGCGCGGTAGGGCTCGGGCGCAGCGGCTGGAGCACGACGTGGAGGCATGCGTGCCCGCGGTGGCCCGCAACGGAACGCGCGCGCTCGGGCGCGGCAAGTGGAGCGCGACGTGGAGGCGCAAGTGCCTGCGGTAAAGTGCCCGCGCGCGGGCACGACGGGTTGAGCGCGGAGAGGGAGAAAGCAAGGAATAAGTTCCAAAGAACTCAATAATTTTTTATCTCACTGCGTTGGACTTCCTAATTCTCTCATTTTACGCCACATCAACAAGGTTGACCTGTCAGAACATTATAGCTTATGCATATTGTGTAGGCTATAGTGGGGTAGCCCATAAGGGGTACAACCCAATTAGGGTTAGTACTTGTACCCAATTCATTCATAGTTCATTCATTCCTTGTTTCTTCTCATGGTATCGAGCAGGTTCCCTAACGGGAACGATTCCTAGGGCCCACCACTACGAAAAAATTTTTTCCTGCCCGGAGCGCGCTCCACTCAGCCCGAGTCGCGCTCCGTGTGCTCTCCCTACCGGCGCGCCCTCGCTAGGCCCCTCACGGCCCCGTCGCGTCGCCCCTAGCGGCCCTCTCACGGCCCGCGCCGCCCTTACGGCCCGTCGCACCGCCCTTAGAGGCCCGTCGCGCCGCCCCTTTCTGCGGCCCAGTCGCGCCGCCTCCTTCGCGGCCCCGTCGTACCGCCCTCAGCGGCTCGTCGTCGCCTCCTTCAGCGGCATCGCCGCCCCCCCCCCCCCCCCCCCCCCCCTTGCGGCCCGTCGCCGCCTCCCCCTTGCGGCCCGTTGCCGCCTCCTCCCCTTGCGGCCCGTCGCCGCCTCTTACAGCGGCCCCACCGACCCCGCGCGGCGCCCTAGCGGCGTCTTGCGCCGCCCTTGTGGCCCTTCGCGCCGCCCGTCGGCCCACCGTGAGCCGCCCTAGCGGCATCGACGCCGCCCTTCCCGGCCCCGACGCCACCTTGGCTGGCCCCTGCGCCTGCTCCTACGGCCCCGGCGCCTGCTCCTACGACCCTGGCGACTGCTCCTACGGCCCCGGCCCCTGCTCCTACGGCCCCGGCGCCTTCTCCTACGGCCCCGGCACCTTCTCCTACGGCCCCGGTGCCGCCCTTCCCGGCTCCGACGCCGCCTCCTACCGGCCCCACCGCCGTCCCTGATCAGGAGCCGCAGCCGCCAAGCCGCCCAGCGACCGAGACGCCGGGCCGCCGAGCCGCCCAGCAACCGAGCAGCTGAGCAGCCCAGCCGCCGAGCCGCCCAGCAGCAGAGCCGCCGAACTGCCCAGCAGCCGAGCCGCAGAGCCGTCCACCTCCTAGTGGGAGACGCCGCTAAGGCAAGGGCAAGGGGGGCAAGGGCGCTGGAGGAGCTGGCGGGGGCTGGG